CTTTTCAAGCGTTTTCCAGACCATTTCAGAACGTTCTTGAACGTCTCCTGAACCGTTTCCGAGCGTTTTCCCGCCTCGCCCGGACTACTTCTGAATCTTTTCGAGTGTCGCCTGAATTCTCGCTCCCGGAAAACCAGCAACAGCCTTCGGGCTGAGGCTTCCTGAGGAAATACAGCAGCTCGAAGGTCTTCTGTGGTGTGGCAGCGAACTATTTAAATGGGCATGGACTTCTGCAGCGAAATATTTAAAAACATGCAGCTAAGCTCTAGCCCGTTTAAGGATGTCGCTTGGTTTCCTGGGATGGCCTCGCCTTGCCCAAACGCAGGAAGCTCTGGGCCATTTAAGGATGTCTTGGTTTCCCTGGAGGGCTTGGCCTTGCGCAAATGCAGGAAGCTCTATAGGCCGTTTAAGGCTGTAGCTTGGTTTCCTGGGAGGGCCTGGCCTTGCGGAAATGCAGGAAGCTCCAGGCCGTTTAAGGATGAACGACGAGGCCTCTGCCTTCTCTGTCGCGCGTCGCGTCCTCTTCGACTACCAACCCGCCGAACCGGAGATGTGGCTGTACTTGTTTGCCCAGCAGATGCCACCCTGTCGATACGGCGGCACCATGGTCCCACTGATCGTGCCATGGCCCGGCATGGAGACGCCCGCCGCGGTGGTGAAGGCTTACGAGGACTCCTCATGGCGCCGCGAGAACATGAGCCTGCTGGAGTTCTGTCGCAAGACCAACAGTGACAGGCAGATCGCCCGGTGGGTGGTAAAGCTTCACAAGGCCTCAGGGGACGTCCAGCCCACGGACGGTGCGGCCACCAAGCTGCGCAAGCTCCATGTCTTTGCGAACAACTGCCCCATGCGCGGCGAGAAGCTGGTGGCCTGTGACATGCTGTCCGTATTCAATGACCGGTGGTTCGGGCAGTGGCTGGCGCTGCGAAAACCCTTCCGACAACTGAACGACCTCATGTCCAAGGAGGTACAGGAGAAGGTGCCCTCACAGTACGCCCACTTCGCCAACGCAGTGCTTCAATGTCCGGACTACTGGGACGATGAGGACCGCGTCCGGGCCGACCTGCAGCTCGAAGCGATGAGCAACGACAAGATCCTTACCTTCCTGGCCAAGGTGAAAGCGCAGCGAGCCCTGGTGAGAAGTTCATGAACGACCAAGTGACCAAGGAGGATGAGGCAGGAGCCCAGGATGCCCTGCGTGAAGTGGGGGTGAAGTGGGGCTGCTGCCCGACGAAGACGATCCCATGTTCAAGGATGTTCGGTTCAATGAGAGGCAGGAACGCCTGGAGCGGGGCATCTGCAAGTTGCTGGACGCAGC